GTCAGAAATCCAAACTTCGAGCATATGACTTTGCCGCCTCTTCATTTCATGACAGCCCGGAGAGAAGCCTCTGACAGACAGCCATCTCCCACTGCCCCTGAAAAGATGAAAAGAATACAAGCCCTAGCAAATCTCCCATGAACTCAAAACTGAGAAAAAGAAAGGGAAATGCAGCTAATTTGCAGTAACCCTGCTTCCTTATTCAGATTTCTGGAAGCATAAAAAAATAGAAACGCTGTGTCTCCAGGACTCCACTTCCAGCTGTTCCCCACAAGTTGGAAAAAACAAGCAGGGACATGTTAACTACCTATACCAAACTGCCCCTCCTGCTGTCAGTCTTCCAAATAATTCTAAGGAAGGCTGTGAGCTGTTCTCCTAAATGCTTTAAGAAGATATATTCCTGACCAGGCAAAGAGATTTAGGTGAATTCCCAGCTGAATGCAGAATAAGGAACAAAATGCTCTCTCGAGGTGCTCAACCCTTGACGTATTGTGTTCTACTGTCTGCTAAAAGCATCATCTCCCCATAATTAAAAGTTCAAATTCTTTTGATGGTCCATATAAAATTCAATTTGGTCAATTCGGTGCACCATCCACCCAGAGGTTGCCTTTCCATCCTCCCTGTGTGAGTTTCCTAGGGCTACTGTAACAAAATATCACAAACTGAGTGTGGCTCAAAGGAAAGAAATGTGTTGTCTCACAGTTGTGGAGGCAAGAACTCCTAAATCAAAGGTGTCCACGGGGCCATGCTCCCTCTGAGACTCTGGGTAGAAACCTTCCTTGCCTCTTCCTAGCTTCTTTGGTGGCCATTAACCCTTGGCACTTGTGAGCCTGCAGCTGCCTCACTATATGCCTCTGTTACCCCATTCTCTCTTGTGTATCTCTGCATCTCTTCTCTACTTGGAAGGACACCAGTCACATTGTATTAAGGGCCCATCCTATTCCAGTATGACCTCATCTTAACTAATTACATTTGCAATGGCCATGATTCCAATACAGTCACATTCTGAGGCAATGGGAGGTTAGGATTTCAAATATCTTTGGCAGGGACACCATTCAACCTAGAACACTACTATACTGAATCAACCACCAAGCTACAATCCAAACTACTTCCTAACTGCCTCTCAAATCGCCACTTCTTTCTCTTCCCACCACTACTGATTCCCACATCATTTCAACTAGATAATTATATGAATTTCCCAAATCCTGCCCTCATTTTTGCATCACTCCAATCAACTCTCAAAAAAAACTTATTAAATGGAATATAACATACATGCAGAAAAGTGCATAAATTATAATGGATTTCCACAGAGTGCACATACTCATGTAACTGCTACCCAAGTCAAGACAGAAATATTACCAACACCCTAGAAACACACCTCATAACCCCCCAAGTAACTTCCCCCTATTCCATCTCAAAGCTAACCATTATCCTGACCTCTACAAATATGGATCAGTTTTACATGGTTTGGGATTTTATGTGAACGGTGCCATACAGTACATACACTTTCATATCTGGCTTCTTCTGTTAGTGAGACTCACCCTTGTTGTTGCAAGTTGAAATAACTGATTCATTTTCTTTGCTTTATAAATATTTTATTGTATGATGATACCATTTATGTATTCATTCTACTGTTGATGACCATTCAGATTGAGTTCCATTTGAGAGCTATTAAAAATAATGGGGCTATGGGGGCGCCTGGGTGGCTCAGTTGGTTGAGCGACTGCCTTCGGCTCGGGTCATGATCTCGGGGTCCTGGGATCGAGCCCGGCATCGGGCTCCCTGCTCGGCGGGAAGCCTGCTTCTCCCTTTCCCACTCCCCCTGCTTGTGTTCCCTCTCTTGCTATCTTGTGTCAAATAAATAAATAAAATCTTTAAAAAAAAAAATGGAGCTATGAACATTCTCAGTTTTGAGCATATGTCTAGTAGAACTGCAAAATCATAGGGCATTTAATTGTTCATCTTCAGCAGATATTGCCAATTTGCTAAAATGATTATATTAATTTTCAACAGCACAGCAATGTATGAGTATTCCAGTTGCTTTATATCCTTGTCAACACTTGGTATTATCAGTCTTCTTCATTTTAGTCATTCTGATGTATGTGCAGTGGTATCTCACAGTCCCTTTATTTTGCGTTTCCATGATGGTTAATTATAATAAGGAGTAATTCAAATACTGATTGGCCCTATGGATATCATCTTTTGTGAAGAACTTGTTCAAATCCATTGCCCATTTTTTCCATCAGGTTCTCTCTTTTTCTTATTGATTTATATCCATATGGAAACTAGTCCTTTGACAGACATATATATTGCAATTATCATTTCCCATTTCGTGGATTGCCTTTTCTCTCCTTTTTTTTTCAAAAAGATTTTATTTATTTATTTGACAGAGAGAGACACAGCAAGAGAGGGAACACAAGCAGGAGGAGTGGGAGAGGGAGAAGCAGGCTTCCTGCAGAACAGGGAGCCCGATGTGGGGCTCAATCCCAGGACCCTGGGACCATGACCTGAGCCGAAGGCAGACACTTAATGACTGAGCCACCCAGGCGCCCCCTTTTCTCTCCTTTAATAGTGTAAAAACTTTTCATTTTAATGCAGTCTAATATATTTTTCATTTTTTGCTTTTTAAAAAAAAAGCTTTATTGAAATAATAATTCACAAACTATCCAATTCATTCAAAATGCACAATTCAAAGTTCTTTAGTGTGTCCACAGGATTGTGCAACAATCACAATAATCTAATTTTATAATACTCTTATCACCCCCAAACAAACTGCATGCCCTCTAGCTGCCACTTCCCATTTCTCCCAACACTCTCACCTTCACCAAGCCCTAAGCAAGCACTAATCCACGTCTGTCTCTACTGAATTGCCTTTGCTGAACATTTCATATAAATGGAATCATATAATCTCTAGTTTTTTGTGACTGGTTTCTTTCATTTAGCATAAGGTTTTCAAACTTCATCCATGTTATAGTGCATATCAATACTTCATTTCTTTTCCTTGCTGAATAATATTCCACGGTGTGGACATATTACATTAATTTATCCATTCATCAGTTGAGGAATATTTGGGAAGTTTCCATTTTTTACAAATTACAAATAATTCTTCTTGGTAAGCAAAATTTGGCTATCCCCAAATCACTAAGGTATTCTACTGTATTACCTTCAGATGCCTTATTGTTTTACCTCTCACATTCAGATCAACAATCCAGCTAGAATTTATTTTTGTTTATTATGTAAGGAATGTTTTTCTCACATGAATGCCCAATTTTCTCAGCACCATTTAATGAAAATAGCAACCTTTCCTCACTGCTCCACAGGGTCACCTTTCTCAGAAATCAACTGTCCCTATATGAATGGCTCTATATCTGTATTCTCTATTCTGTTCCATTGATCTATTTGTTTAATTCTTGAGTAATACGGCACTATCCTAATTATTGTAGCTTTACAATATATATTGATATCTCATTGTTTAAGTCCTCCAACTTTGTTCTAATTCTTCACTTATCTTACCTATTCTGGGCCATTGGCACTCTGATATTTTGGCCGGGACTTCAATGAATTTTGAGATCAATTTGAAGAGATCTGACCTCTTTATGATACTGAGCCAGCCAATCCATGAATATATTATGTCATTCCATTTATATAGATTATCTTTAATTTCTCCCAATAGTATTTCTCTGTAGACATCTAATATATCCTTTGTTAGATTTATTCTTATTTTTAATATTTTAGGCTATTTTAAATGGTAACTTTAAAAATGGTTTATTTAGGTAAAATTTATACACCATGAAATTTATCCATTTCAAGTGTACAATTTCACGAGATTTAGCAAATTATACAGTTGTGCAAACATAACCCCAATCTACTATTTGAACACTTCTATCAACCCAAAATGTTACCACATGCTCATTTACAGTTAATTCCCACTCCTACAGTAGGCAAAAACAGCCATCTTTATAGTTTTGCCTTTTCTAGAAATTTCATCAAAATGGAATCATATCTTTTGTGTCTACATTCTTTCACTTAGGATAATATTTTTGAAGTATATCCAAGTTGTCTCATATATCAGTAGTTTATTCCTTTATAAAACTGTTGAGTAGCATTCCTTTATGTAAGTATACCAGTTTTTGTTTATCTAACCACTGGATAGATACATGGATTGCTTCTAGCTTGGGGCCATTATGAATGACATTGCTATGAATGTTCATGCACAAGTCTTTGTGTAGACATACACTTTGTTTCATGTAAGTTTTTACTTCAATAACTAGAAATGAAATTGTTTGATTCCTTAAATAAATATGTGTTGAACTTTATCAAAAACTGATACTGTTTTCCAGAGTGGCTGTACCATTTACATTTCCACCAGCAATGGATACATTTTCCCAATTTCTCCCTATCTTCACCAGCACTTTTCATTATCTTTTTTATTTTAGTCATTCTAGTGAATTGACATTTTCTTGTGGTTTCAATTTACACATCCCTAGTGATAATGAGCATATTTTCACAGGTTTATTAGCCCTTAATACATATAAATACTTTGGTTTGTCTTCTTGTTGACTTGTAAGAGTTCTTTATATACCTGGATGTAAATGTTTGATCAGATATAATTGGCAAATATTTTATCCCATTCTGTGGCTTATATTTTCATTTTTTCAAAATTTCATAATGTCCAATTTATCTCTTTTTTTCCTTTTAGGGATCTTGGTTTTGGTGTTATATTTAAGAAATCTTTGACTAACCTAAGGTCATAACTTTCTTGTATGTTTTCATCTAGACGTTTTATAATTACATTGCTTATATTTTTATCTGTAATGCATTTCAAGTTAGTTGTGTATACAGTATAGGGTAATCTGGGGATACAGATATCTTAATTGTTCCACCTCATACTCTTTGGGAATACAATTTGGTCGTAGTTTATAGTCTTTTTTTTTATATGTTGTAGGATTCATTTTAAGTGCCATCTTTTTTATTTTATTTTATGTTTTCAAAGATTTTTTCTGAATTGTAGTCTTTATTAAAGTTCTTTTACAAACTTATGTCTAATATGAAAAGGCTGCTTTGACTTTAACACGTGCTTTGTAGATTTACATCAGCAGTAAGAAAGGCTTCAGCTGAGTAGAGTTTGGTCTTCAAAAGTGTGACTACATCCTGCATCTCCAGCCTTTCCACCTCCCAATTACAGACCAAGATTATGTGAAAAGCCATTACTTTCAGATGTCGCATTTTCATAGCAAGGAATCCTCTGGGGTGAGCTAAATCCAAACAGTAAGTAGATCTAGGAACACACAGTTCAGCTACTCTGTGTGTATCTGCAGCAGAAATTACCACGTCGGAAAATGGAAGCATTTTACTCCTGTTAATATCCATTCTTACTTCAAAATTGATATAGTAATTGTGTGGCAACTGTCTGTTTTTTGAGAAGTATTCTTCTCCCAGAAAGCTACTTAGTGCATCTGCCACCTTCACATTTGGATACAATGCCATGGACGGCAGCGGTGGTGGGGCCAAATCTATGGTGTCGTGACAAGAAATATCCAGTTTTAGGCAAGCAGCCAAAATACGAAGCTTGTGAGCATTCCTCTCGTCACCTGACATCAGCAGTTCATTGATGACGTCCTTTTGGAGAAGTGGATTAATAAGGGCCCCAATGGCAAAATGGTTCATCAAGCAAAATGAACACACAGCATTCAATAGATTTTCAGAAGAGATGTGGTGGAGATAACCAGTCAGAGAAGTAGCCATAACTTCTTGGAACTCTGAGGTCTGGCATTTGTAGAAGTGATTGAGAGAAGAATACACATTAAGAATACAGATAATGCTTTTCATGTTTAGAGAGGAAGGATCAGCTATCACTTTCTTCATGAACAAGTACATCAAATCAGTATGTCGAAAGCCAAGGTTGTCAAATAAAATGAGGAGAAAGAGAACTTGCTTTAACTTCCAGATGTCAATAGTTGTAGCCACATAATCTGCTATTCCCTTAAAAAGATCTAAATTACAGTACTGGAGGTCTCTGCAAGACTGCAATATGTTGATCAGTACTTTAAAAGGACACCCATGGATATTACCTATGACCATCTTACTGCATTCATCCAGAAATATAATAGAGCAGTGATTCATGATATCTAATGCCTCAAACATGTGCTGGCTATTCAAATCAGAAAATCTGTCTAATTCTCTCAACGTTTTCATCTCCAGTTTCCTTTTGAGAGCAATTGGTGCATCTTTTCCAACACATCTTATCACAGCTTGTAATGTAAAAACACGCTCTATTTTCCAGACTTGCTGATCCACTAGTATCCGCAATCCTGCTCAAAGAACGTCCACATTCTTGCATGGCTCCATTGCCTCTAAAATACTTGACAAAACTGAAAG